AAGGGAGAGAAGCGGGGCAGCACCAGGCTCATAGAGGAAGTGGAAATGGGGGGAAGGGAAGATCTGAGCAGGAGGCCACCAGTGCACGACTCCGAATGGAGGTCAGCGCTTAGCTAGACTGTAGGGAACTCGGCACCTGGTACCCTGATGCCAGGGACCAGGGGAGGGAGTTACCCTGATTCCTAACGATACGTCAGACGTGTTGCCTTGTGCTTTTCTTTTATGTTTTCTTTTGTGTTTCCCCGTGTGAAGGGGTTGAGAGACAGGAGGGACTTATAGAAATAGAATAGATGGTGTAAGGCCCGTAGGGCTTCGTATTGGATCAAGGCCTTAGGGCGAGAGTTCACCCTAGACGAGTACAGGTTCCATGACTGAGACCTCCAAACATGGACAACCCACAGTGGAGTAAGCAAATCGGCCTCAGGAGCTGATATCCAGGACGGGAAGGAACTCGAGAGGCTCCTCAGTGGTGTAAGAAGGGGTCATTGGCCACGAAGATTGAGCAATCCATCGAGGTGGTGTGAGGATGGGGTGTAGGGGTGGCAGAGCCCTGCTGGTGACCATCAGGCAGACCATGTGCTGCAGAAGGTGCCCGGGTAGTCAACCCTCCGCTGAGGAACATTCAAAGTTGTGGCAAGAGAGATAGGGGAAGACTACCCACGGAGGGAACATCTACTTGGCAATTTATGGGAATCTGCAAGGCATACACCACCCAGTGCTCGAGCCAAGGCTGCACGTGACCGAGTGTTTGAGACCCGGCAGTCACAACATAGATATTAAGACACCAAATAATTGAGCTCCTTTTCAGAAATTCTGAGCTCAGCCACAGCTCCCTTTTGAAGTCATGTGTACTACAAAACTACCACATCACAGGCCTGCTGGTTCTCAAGAAAGAGAGCCAGTAGAAGGTAACCTTTTGTAGGTCACCTTCTACTGACTCTCAAGTAGAAGGTGACCTCTTGTGACAAGTAGAAGATGACCTCTTGTGACAAGTGACCCCTTTGTATGACCCCTTCTGTGACAGGTCTCGGATTCTGAGGGTGGCCATGATGCCCCCTGGTGGCCCCTCAACTCCTGCTGTCCATTCTGGCTCCTTGGGTTGCCCTTCCTTTTCCCTTGTCTTTACTGCCACACCTTATTTTAATTATTCTTAGCATAAAAAGGAGGCTGCCCTCAGGGTCCCTAGTCCGTCTCCACCTTGGCCCCTGGAACACTCAGCTGCATTAGTGCCTCCAGGCACCAGTCACCTTATGGGCTATTCGTGCCCACCATCCACAGCCATACCCATCCCTCTCAGATGTTTTTCTAGATTAATGTACCAGCTTCAGCCCTCTTGATTTTAGTTCACTGGTTATTCTTGCTGTAGATTGCCAGCCTTGACCCAACTCACTCTCCTTGGGCCCTTGGCCTGTTTCACTCTGCTTGGGGCTCATGCCCCGGCCCTCTTGACTGAAGCCTGCCCCTGATAGGGCTGAAAATCTATCTATCTATCTGCTATGTAGCCTCCTGTCCTCCCCTTCAGCCACTAAGTGGTTCTTTGGTTCCTAATTAAAACAGAAATGCAAACCCTCAGGCTGTGTAACAACCCCCCGCCCCTCTCTTCCCACCGGGCCAATAACTTCCTCACAGGTTATAAGTCTCCCTTAGCTCTATTCTAGCATCTCTTAAGGATAGCCTGGGTGCTGGTTAGTCCCTTTCTGTACCCATCCTGCTCAGGAGCTCGTCTTCCTGCTGCCTGCAGGGCCAGACTGCCCCCTTTGGCTCTGGCCCAGGGCTTATATGCCTTGAAGTCTTGCCCTACTTCCTGTAAGGTGGCTCCCCAGCCACATACAGGAGTTTCCCCATTTAATTAAGGGCCAGCCTGAGCTCTTGCCACCACAGCCCCACACAGCTAGATTGGCCTGCTGCATCCTCATAAAGTAAGAGGAGCTCTCTGGCTCCCTGCTAGTGCGTCTGAAGAACATAGTTTGTCTGATTTTTTGGAAGCACTACTGTATATTTTAGATACTTTTTACCAGGCAATGAATACTGAAAAGTCAGCCATCTGTGCTCAAGACAGAGAGGGAATAAATGATTATTTTCCAAAGTGATTTGTTACTAATTTCCCAAAAGAAGAAAACAATAAAAGTTAACATTTTTTTCCTGGCTTCATCCCCATTAAAATGCTTTTAAGCAGCATCTGCTGTTGGGATTCCTGTGTGGCATTTCCTTTAGGATTTAACCATCCAAATACAGCAAAGTAGCATCAATGGAGGTAGTAAATATTATTCCTGTAATAAAGATTAGTATTAATCCACAAGGGCAAATACTGTTGCTGAGAACTCCAGGAAGCTGTTTTTAATGCAATCCCTATAGTGGATAGCTCGTATAGCCTAATTGCTTTGATCTTTACACACTTCATCATCTTTAATCTAATCTCTAATCAATCTCTAATCTTAGATCTAATCAACTTTTCCCAGTTTTATCTTCAAATTCATTATGGTTACCAGTGAATGTGTCTACATGTGCATTAATTAATGTGCATTAGACTGTGCTAATGTGAGGTAGTGCATTTGCATACTTTTTTAGTGATGTTTAATGTGAAGTAGACTATTTTACTGTGCATTAGTGTAATGTCATTTTTTTTACATGATGCTTTAATACACAGTAAAATAGTCTACTGTGTATTAAAGTGCACATGTAGATGCACCCAGTAGAGGTCTTCTATGGCATTTGATGCTGTACTTAATTGGTTAATCTGTTTACTGTACAATCCTTTCCCCCCTCTCTTGTTTTTTTCTTTTACATCCTTGCTGTTGCATAGCTACATATTTTCACTGATACACAACACGTTTTTTAAACTCCTCAGGTGTTTGACAGGTGAGATTGAAAAAAAGCTGGAAATGGTTGTTGAAGTCTAGGATGATTCCTACAAACTGCTTCTTGATAAACAAGTTTTCCCATTTGAAAGAAAGATGAAGCCTCATTGTTCATCATATTTTCCAAGCTTAGGCAATTAGTAGCAACTGGTCCACTGATAGTGGAAAAACATGCCTCTAAATTCAAATTGTGTTAGAGGTGTTAGTACATATCACTAATCTAACCAGAAAGTACAGAAAAGTTGCCATTATCTCAAACCAAAGCATTACAAACCCAGGAAATTCAGAAAGAAAATATGTTAAAAAAAATCTAGGTAAGATAATGTATAGAAATTTACAGCTAAAGCTGCAGACATTGATTTAAAGGCATGATGGGATCTGATCCTCAATCCCACCAATTGTATCTCTTGCCATGCCACATGTGCATGGCTGGAAGTACAACCCTACTTGACATGCAGGGGCCAACTAAGATGATGATTATGTTAAAAGCAAGTTGAAAGCTGGATGCCCAATGGTTAGCTGATTGTCAGCTGGATTCAGACTGCAGTGGGTCCCCAACTGGTCATGATGCATCCTTGGAGCCAGCCAATGATCAGCTGATCATCAGCCAGCCATTGGAGACCCTAGTGTCATTCTAACCCTGTCACATTTTCAATTTAAGGCATAGTAGAAACCAGCAGCAAAATATTGCACATTTTTGTGTAATATTTTTGTGGCTGGTTTCCCTTTTTGTGGCAACATTAATTGCTTGTACAGGTGGCTGGGTTACTACTGAAGACACAGTTAATAGACTAACCATGTCATAAGTATAATGTCTACTAGGGGCCTAATATACTTAAACAATTATACTACCTAGCATTACCTTGCATCCAAAATATTATTTGGATTAAGGTCTTTTGTGCCTTTGATTCTGGATTACAATTTTTTAGAAAAAAAAATTCTCAATAAATTTTCTCTTCAACTGTCACTATTTTCACAAAATCTTTCTGCGCTTCAAGAATTAGTGGTGTAAGATAAGGGAGGATACAGGGTTTTTGTTTGTTTGTTTTTTAACAAAACAGGCAAAATTTAAGTCTTCCCAACTGAGTTACAAGCAGCACATTTAGAGTAATCTATCACAAAAATGATACACAGACACTCATGATTCAATATACCAATAAAAACATTAATTGTGTTCAGCCATATATTTATGATTATGTGAGGAACATTATAAGAGATGATTGTTATCATAGAATTTACGTTTTGATAGATTTGGGTTAACTGATAAAGCTGGAAGTGAAGGAGGTAATGCTCAGATCTGCTGTGGATAATTATTTAGTGTAGCAGGGAGGAAAAGGAAGGGTGACTTCGGTCTCCTTTTGGGCACTCTCTAGGGTTGCTGAGGGGTTTATTTGACTGCATGTATACATTGTAATAGTCTCAGGAATAAAGGGGCCCTTATGCCAGCCATGCATGAGAGCACAGCATGTTGTAGCCACCTCTTCTCCTGAGCTCAGTTATAGATGGGAGCAGAGACCAAGGAAGAGTAGTACTGAACCAGTTACATTAGCTGGCAATTCCTCTCTCCTTTGCTAATGAAACTTTCAGCTGCCTACTATGCTGGCTTGGATGTTGGTTTGTGTCTCTTTAGCAATGCAATCCAGTGTTATCAGAGGGAGGATATGATACAGTAATACTTCATCAATAATACTTATTTGCTGATACCTCATTGCATTAAATAATGCTGAACTCCTTGACTATTTGCATTTCACTCTTCCTCCCCTATTCCTGGCAAAGATTATATATGCACTTAAAATCCATTGTGTGAGTCTTGGAGACCCTGACTCTGATTTGTCAGGATAGGAGTTAATAAGTATTCACTCCCAAAGAACTGCAGCTGCTTGTACTATTTGTAAAGGTACTCAAAGGACAGTAGCAACAGCTTTGCGGAGGGGAGGCTCTACACAGGATAGTGATGGCATGTCTTTGATGCAGGATTTGCCTGGCTTTCTACTCAGGTGTTGCTTTTACTTTCTTCTCCCTCTTAATTTTGGTGGGTAAGGGGAAAGTGCTCAGTTTGGATTAACTGACCTGGCTGGTGTGGTGTGAGCTATAGCTGACTGACTGTTCATTACTAGTGCTGGTAATACCCTTGTGAATGTAGGCTGATCATCTGACAGAACTTTGCAGTGAACATATCCTAACAGAGTTCAGTTGTTGGAGGGAAGGAAGGTATGTAATGAGGTTTCCAGTTATTAATTCTTGTGATTACTTGGTACATGTGTTTAAAGCCACAGCTGTTGGGTTAAGAACAGATGGGAAAATAGCCCAAGGCTGAATTGATTCAATCTTTGCAGGTTAGTTTAAACTGTGTAGATTGAACCAATAAGCAAATGAACAGACCTTCATTTTGGATTCTGGAAATGCAGCCACATGCCTGCAGTGGCCCAGGCCAGAAGCTGGGGTTGTTAGAGCACACTTCCCTGCTTGGCTGGAGTAGACAGCTTGGGCCATTGTTAGCCCACCTAGCCTGCAAGGGAGGGAGGTGTAAAGCAACCTGGGATGCTGGGGGACTGTGAGTTAACTTGAATATGGCAGAGAAGTTCAATAAACTAATTTAACTTGAATCGGTTAGATGTGATACTACACACATGTGATAAACCTCCACGTTTATGTTAAACCAGTTTCAGCCATTTTGAAAATAAGGTGTATGTGCACAGAGCTTCTGTTGTGTTACAGATTTGAACCTGTTTCTGATCATTTATACCAGTTTATATGTAATTTCTGTCCCTACCCTTGAAGTTTAGTGAAGTTAAACTTTGACTTGACAGGTAGGGTGGAGCAGCAAGCTAGAGCAGACTTCTAGTTCTCATACTTTCTCGCAGAGAAGAGCTTGAAGATGTGACTGGCATTAAAACGTGACTTGGGCACTGCAGTGCCTTACATTGTGGTGAGCATGTTTGTTATTACCCTGAAATAAAAAAGTTTTCTGATAGCATACTGTTAGGTTAACAATAATTTGGATTATTAAGCAGTATTAGCTTTACAGCTGAATACAAGGCATGACCTGTGGCCTAGCAATATTGCTGACCACAAGGCAGAATGATAGCTAAGCCTTTGCTTATGTTAAGTAATCATTTTAACTGTGTTAACCATTTTCTGAGTAAAATGCAGCAAGTGAATCTGTGTCTGTGTGCTGTAAACCAGATACAGCAAGGAACAAGATAACACAAAGAAGCCATTGTTTTAAGTACAGTGATCGTGTCCTTAAGAAGTATGTACTACTGTGCAAGTTTTTGCTAACCTATCATAATGTTACTGTTACTTAACTTTTAGCTTTTAAAAAGTGCTAGTTCAGCTTAATAGAAATATGCTGTTATGAAGATTTGTGAAGCACCGCCCAAGTATTGCTTTTGTTAACCCTGTAGTCTTGCCTTGTTGTAAAAAGTATAAAAGAATGCCCCACCCTTTAGGGGGGGCCATTTTGCCTCTTTGCTGGCTTAATGGTCATTGCTCGAGCAAATATACTGCAGTAAAGCTTTACCCGTGTTGTCTAGTCCCTATGCAGCTAGACCACGAACCCCAGGGAGTTTTCTCCCACAACACATTTTGGCTAATTATGTTATACTTGTACAAAATGGGTATGCAATGCTGTTATTCAGATCTGGTAGCATTTCACACACAACTTGTACCATCTCTTCATAAGTGCAAAAGGATTGTTTGAAGTAAAAATGTTCCCCTTACTTTTGGGGCTTTTCTCCAGAGAGTATTTTAGTGTGCAACAACCTAGAGTGTGAATTTACAGTATGTAAACCAAGCTATCTACATAGAAAGTGAGTGCACACTGGCTTGTGTACTATAAATACAAATTATCATCCTACTTTACTGCACATCTACTTCTTCCATGTAGATAAACATTATCAGTATATTGCAATTGGAGCGAAGCCTCAGGTTGCTACAGCCAATGGAACAAAATTGGCTCAGTGTATTCTAATTATAAAACTGTATTGACAAGGATCCTGTTGGAGTTATACTTGAGATGCAGACTTAAAATTGGATTTCGAATGCACTACAGTTTGGTTCTATGCAAACTGGAAATATGTTTCTGTTAAAACTGTGACTAGTTTTAAGCAAGCAGAATTTCAGTCAAATGGGTTGCAAATGGGATAAATGAGATTATACTCAGGCTCCTAAAATTCTAAATCAGACCAATCTGTAAAACAGAAACATGAAAAGGACCCTACAGATTCTGAAACAACTTTGTCTTGAGTGGCATTAATTTGGAAATAAGGCTGTGTTGCCCCTGGTGCTTTGGTTCTCAAAGATATCATGGGATTTAAAGTGGCAGCCAGTAGTACCTACCTCTTACCTAGTACTACCTGATATGAGAAACTAGACCTGTCTATTTCGGGGTATTTGAGGTCAGGTCCCTCAGCTTAATGTAAAGAAAATAGACTGTAATCCATGTAAAAGGTAGCTTTTTGGAAACCTTTGACAGCATGTTAGTCAGGGAAATAGTCAGCCTGTCATGGATAAATGGATATGGCACATAAGATGGACAAAGACTTAAATTGGGTAAGTAATGATGAGAAAAAAGGGGGGGGTGGAAATGGCCTGATTTGGTGGCCAAATCTCCAAATCTGAATTGAATCGGGGGACCAATAAAAAGGTCCGAATCGATTCAGAAAAGATTTGGAGAGCTTCAACAAATTGGGCAGTCCCCGCCTGCTGAGGTAGGAAGCTGGAGCCAGACTCAGAGCTGGCAAGTAGGAGGTGGGAGAAAGGAGGCTGGGGGAGGGGACTCCTGCCAGGCCACATTCCCTGCCTGCTCCCCCAAGTGCCCCCTGACCCCTGCTCGCCCCAGCTCCCAGCCCTTTTTTTTTTTTTTTTTAAAAGCCCTGCCTGGTGGGGGGTGGGCAATCCCCACTACCCCATGCTGCATGGGGGCCTCTGCCACAAGTCCCCTGACCCCCCCTCGCTTCCTTAGCCCCCCCATGGCAGCCCCACCTGCCCCAGCTCTGGCCCTTTAAGAAAAAAATTCAAATAAAACCCTAGTCTCACCGGTTCCTGCAGCAGCCTTGGGGCTTTGGGGGGCTCATGCAGAGCCTGCCATGTGGCACGGGGAAGTGGGGATCACCCCCTGCTGGGCAGGAACTGGTGAGTTTGGGGTTTTGTTTTTTGTTTTTGTTTTTTTCTTAAAGGGCCAGAGCTGGGGTGGACACTCCTTTTCAAAGTCCTAGATCTGCTCATAGTCTTGGAACTTATACTTGGATGTTTTCACATAGCAAATGGATTTTATTAATCTATATGAAGAGTTAGCAAAAGTTAAAGAAGTTGGCACTACATCTGCTAATTGTGAAAAGTAAAACAATAACTTTTATCAAAGCTATAAATTGCATACAAAAGTTAAAATGTGCTGAAAAACAAATGCAAGAACCACTCATGTATAAATATTTTTCTTTAAAGCAGAGTAGGATGTACAAATGGAAAGACTTGCTGATGAAAGTCATATGGGGAATGAATGAGGCACTGACATGCTCTATCCTTGGATGTTTTCAAAACCCAGCTAGACAAAGCTTTGGCTAGGATGATCTGGTTGGGGATAGCCCCACTTTAAGCAGGGGTTTGGATTAGATGACCTCCTGAGGTCCCTTCCAACCCTACCTTTCTATGATTCTATGTCACTTAAACAAAAACTTACATGGTTTTTCCATGCTATAGCAAAGATCTCTATCGTAGCTACTTCAATAGCACCTGAACACCTTGCAGTCTTTCCTTGCAGTATGTCTATCCTTTTCTCACCCCTGTGAGGTAGACTTATCTTCACCACACATTTTTCTTTGCCTCTGTTTCTTAATTGACTCTTCCAACTGTCACGAGCCAAGGGTGTGATTTTGTGTGCGCGCGCTTCGGCACTGCTAAATTATTTCCCGCCACGAGGAGCTTTCTTTGCAGGGTGCGTTTCTCAGTTGCAAAGAGAAAACCCCGGTGCAAAGGAGTTCCTGCCACCTGCATGCAAATTTGTGTCCCACTATTGGCCAGTTCTAAATTATTCCCACGTGGCGGCTAGCGATTGGCTTGCTAGCCGTATAAGAGGCTTGAGCCGTTTCCGCCCAAGTTGGATTACTCCACAACCATCTCGTGGAGGAGGAGGACTTCACGTCTCATGAAGAACTCTAAGCGCTGCGGAGCCTAACAGACCCAGCGTGTACCTTAAGAAGGCTATAGGGGTCTGATCAACCTCTGGCCTCTCCCCGTCGCTGAGCGCAATCCCTCGACAAACCCCTTCCCTGCGCGCTTGTTCCACGGAGCCTAGCAAGCTTCGTGAGTGTGTGTATCCAGAGCTCTGTCTGAGTTATTTCAAGAGGCTCGAGTTTTCTGCAGGTCTTGTTCGAGTTTGTGTTGTGGAGCCTAACAAACTCCACGTGTCTGTCTGTAACTACAACGCAAGGAAGTTTTTCCTGCCTGCACCGCGACCATCTATGGTGTAAGTAAAATAATCTTTAATCAACCGCTACGCGTCCATGCCTAATTCTAGTCTGCCGGCCTGCATTCCCTGACCCGCGTGCCAGGGCTGCTGGCTACATCCTGCCGTGCGCCCCCGAAGGCCTCAGACCGCTCCTGGCCCGCACACCAACTTGCGAGTAGAATGTGACAACAGGGAGTTCAGCCTGGGGTTTCCCAAGTTCTAGACCCATTCCCTCTCACTGAAGAATGCAGAACTGTCACAAAGTAAAGAGTGGGCTCAGTTGCAGTATCTTTATCCAAGGATGCAGTCCTTAGTGGAAGAAACAGTCCACTTTTTTGTTGTTGTTGTTGTTGTTGTTGTTGTTGTTGTTGTTGTTGTTGTTTGTTTTTTTTTTTATAGAATGTCCTCCATATGCAAAAAGGCTAGGAACAGAAATTACACAAACTAGTATAATTGGCTGGAAACCAGTCAAATCTGTAACACAACAGAAGTTGAGCGCACATTAAATCGCATTCAAACTGGCTGAATCCGATTTAAGATAAACCTGGATGGATGTAGTGTTAAACTTAAGTGATTTTAGGTTAAATCAATTTGTTGAACTTCTCTGTCCCAGATCTCCTTCCTCCGGATTCAAGTTAACTCACATACCCCAAGCATCTCAGGATGCTTTATACCTCCCGCGAGCCCACCTCACAAGCTGAGAAGGATAGCCTTGGCCCAAGCTGTCTGCTGCAGCTGAGCAGGGAAGTGTGCTCTAGTGCCCTCTAGCTTCTGGCTGAGGCCACTGCAGGAGTGTGGCTGCATTTCCAGAATCAAAACTGAATGTCTATTCACTTGCTTATTGGTTCAATCTATGCAGTTTAGACTAACCTGAGGAGATTGAATCAATTCAGCCTCTGGCTTTCTGACTATCTGCACTTAGCCATGGGGAAAAATACAATATGGCCCTTAATAGGTATGTCTACACTATGTCTGCAGTGATTCAGGGATTGCTGCTGAAAAACAAGTCCTATCCACTTGCTTGTGTTCCATAGCATGCTACATGCTGAAAAAGTGTTGCATCTAGAGATGCTCTCAGGATTTCAGTGGGTGTATATACATGTGCTATTAGCATAGAGCAATAAACTCTGGGACCACAGCATGTTGAGCTGAGTTGGAGAGGGTCCAGGGGGTCAGCCTGCCAGCCTGGGGCAGCTTCAAACTAGCTCAATGTGCTGTGGAGGAGCTGACTGGAGCATGAGGGTGCTCCAGTTAGCCCTGCACTAAAACACCCTTGTGCCCCAGCCAGCTCCATCAGCATCTACATGTGCCTTGCTGTGCACTAAAGGATACTGCTGCAGGATAATACTTGTATTTTCAAGTCCAAACCTACAGTGGTGTTAATTAGTTTCCTGTGGCCTAACAGGGCTGCATGTGTAGATGTTGAGACTTTACTGCAGGGCTAACTAGGTAGCTTTGCAGTAAACATCTTGCGTAGATGT